AAAGCTAGTGATAACTGACTGACAACAATCCATCATTAATTGCCGTGTGGTTTTTGTTCTCGGTTACGACGGGATGGTTGTGTGCACGCGTGGGATGCAGGGTATCCTAATTACTAAGTCACTATAAAAGGTGGTGGGGAGCACTGGGTGGCAGCTCTGACAATTTATTCATTGCCTTAGTGATTTGTTGGTCAGTTCATGCCGAAGGAAGAATACAAACTGCATTTCAAACCGTTTCTGGGTTTGGCTGTTTTCATTAACCCTTCGGAACCTGACACCAAAGACAGATAACATGGTACAAGGGTGGGTTCTGGCCTGCTCTACTGCTGGTTCGCTTGTGCATGCATGCACAGGCTGGATGCACGTTGTGAGCGCATGCGCAATGCAATTAAAATTGTTCTGCACATGCGCAGAACTCAAAAACAAGATGGCAGCAGCCACGACGGTGCCAGGGAACTGATTCGGGGGCATGGCAGGCCTGGGCTGCTACCGTTTCCAGTGACCCAGGCCACCATACCACTACCAGTTTGGCCAAACTGGGTTGAACCAGTAGGAACTCACCTTTGACATGGTTATATTTTTCTCCCCAACCTCAGGTTTTATTAGTAGATGCCAAGATTCCTAATGGACCACAAAGAAACTGCATCTCTACCACATTCTGATTTTTAACCCATTTATGGACCTGATTTAAGATGAGGCCTTGATAATATAGTGGGATTCATTAGCTACCATATGAGATCAGAATTTTGTCTAGGTAATGGAAGATATTAAACTATCTTACAGAACTTAAATCATCAGTGTATACAGTGAAAATACATCCTCAAGGCATAGCATATAAATATGTATATTAAAGATGATCCTTTCCTTCTCATTACTCCTTCTCTGTGGCTAGAATTTTAATGGATAAGAAAAAAATTGTTGTATTTCAATAAGCAGTTCTTGGAAAATAAAATGACCCTTATTAGATGCTGATTGTAGGACATCACAATGTCTTCTGATACTCTGAATCAAAATTTTGATGGCTTTTTTCCATGATAAATTTAAGTTACAGAGCAAATGTGATTCAATGGTGCACAGTGGTATTTAAATACTTTCCTGCAAATGCTAATATTCATCAAGGAGAATAATCCTGCTATCCTAACCCATAGGAACATGGCTTTATAAAGGAAATGAGTATTATGCAGTACAAAATAGACGATTTTAGGAATAAAAGAAAAAACAAAGCAATATTAAGAGTTCAGTAAATGTATTAACAACAAAATTAATAAAATGTCATTTAAAAAAATATTCCAGGCAGGGAAGGTAAAGAATCAAATGGAAAGAAAAGGGAGAATAAACATTTGTTGTTGATTTGGCATTTCTGATTCTGAAATAAGCCAAGCTAATTTGTCAATTGGCCAGGTTCATAGGCATTAAAATGGCTTCATCCAACTTGATACCCTCCAGATCTTTGATCATTTGTCACTCAGCAGGCACTAATGCATTGATGGCAAACCTATGGCACGCGTGCCCAAAGTGTCACGTGAAGCCATGTTGCCTGGCATGCACGGCATTGCCCATTCCTCTTCTGGATTTCTGGCGTGCATGGGCACACAATGATCAGCTGGCCTTTTTGCATGCGGCGGTGCCAGAAACTGGAAGAGCTAGTCTTCCATTTTCCTGTGTGAGTATGTGCAGTGGCCAGCTGATTGTTGTGTGCGCGTGCATGGCAGTAACTGGAAGACTAGCTGGCTGGCGTGCATATGTGTGCCGGAAACTGGATGTTCACTTTCGGGCGGGCACATGCGCCCTGAGCAGCTCCTCTTCTGGGTTGCGGTCCAGATAAGCGCGTGCATGCACTCCCGTTTCAGCACTC